CATGTTTGCACCAGTATCATATCTTTGTTATCCATTCACGCCTTGTAATACCAAATTTGGCATAAGTGAACCTAGCGAAACGTTGCCAGCGCATCATCAGTGTGGCATGTAGTCATGTTGTTACATGACATGCATCTCATGCTTATCATGTTTGCACCAGTCACACACCTTCGTCATCCATTCACGTACCGTAATACCAAGTTCGGTATAAGTGACGTTAGCAAAACGGATGCGAGCACATCATGTGTGTGGCATGTAGTCATGTTGTTACATGACACGCATGTCATGATTTTCATGTTAGGGTCGGTCGCTTGTGTTTGCCATGCAATCATGTTATACCATACCCGTTTTGCAACATACCATGTGAACGAAACCACCGCAAGGGCTGCAGGACGATGAAATGTAAATCATGACTTACGTGTCAATTTTGATGTAATGACTAGTGAAATAGGTTCTTCATACAGTCATGGTATGCCATACGAAGTTTGGTATTGATACCATTATCGAAACGGCCAAGAGAGCTAAAAGTCGTAGGCGGCTAGAATGATAGATAGATACGCTCAAAGTCGTCGAAGTTCGCTAAGAAATGCTTCGTATTAAAGAAAAAAAGTTGTTACTATGTAGTGTAAGCAAATGAAATATAAATATGTAATTAAGTTTTTAGTAACTTGCACTGTTTTTGTTTTATGCCATGACAATCTGTTAAGTATGTCATTTTGGACAAAATTTTTGTGCGATAAGTCTGCAAGAAGTATCAAGACTTATAAAAAAATGAGTGAACAAAAACATTGTAATTTGAGAATTCTTAGAACCCTCGGCTCATAATTAATGCTCATACTTAGGTTTGTAATAATTATACAGGCCATATCAAGTTCAAAGAAATACTTGCACCCTTCACATGTTAAAGAATATGTGGGGAAAAATTTCATTCCAATCGAATTATCAGAAGGACCAGAAACATGATGTGTAAACACAATGTCCGAAAAATAGACCTTGAGAAAAATGCATTATAAAGGTAAAGTGAAACCTCATCTATGCGAAAAAGATATGTGTTTCAAGATGATTTCTTCTATGATAAGAGCTTGGCAATGTTGGTTATTTTGAGCATGTAGCTTTAGTGAACTCCTCATGCGAAATGCAGTGGCAAGCGGCATGGTGACAATTTCCGGGGGACTCTGACAATGAACTCTTTTTAGTTTTTATTAGCCTTTTAGTGCTCCTTGAAAGGGCTTTTAACGTGTTTTGAGTTTAGTTACAAATTTCAGTTTGTTTTTTGTTTTTTGCATGAAAGTAGGGAAACAAAATTTGTGAAAGCAAATGAAAATGAGGAATGTGTAATATTAGAAACATAGCTTCATTTTTTTACTTGCATCTCCCATTAATGCAGCCAAAAAAAATCGAGCCTGGTAAAAATTATGTCATCGCTGTTTTAAATAGTGTTGGCAGTATTTATTTTGACGTGTGGTAATTACGGCAGCTTTTTTCTTGTTTGCCACGATAAGGATGACAGAATAGCAACAGCATGAATTGCATATATGCTCATGTGATAAAGGATATCGATTCCGAAGTATGAAGCTCTCGGTATGATAAGGCCATGTTGCATGGTCTACTGCCCACTTCATTATCAGACTGACCAATGAACAGCTGCTTCAAAAGGTCTCTAACATGACAAGTTCATAGCATTACAAGTCCTCTCAGCAATGCACAGTTATTTTAATGTCAACTTTTGTGTACCCCTACATAATTATAAACCTCCATTCTGATTTTTTTTATTCTAGGACACCAAGGTGGTGCATTAAATAAAATCATTTTAGAGAGAATGATGTGGTATGCTTTCATAAATTTATTTTTGATGCTTTGGCAGTGTGAGAGATTAATAATTAGAAAAGAAATCGAGGGTGAAACTTTTCTGTTTGATTCACACCATAACCTCTTTGGGAGAGCGTGAAATCGTGTATTTTGAAGTGAATTCCTATGTTCAAAATTTCACTGTAAGGTTGGTAGTCTCAATGGTTGAATAAAGGGACACAGTAGAAATAATTACTCATCTAGATTGATAAATTGTACTCTAAAAAACTGTAGTTAATTTCATCATTATATGTTTATTAATAGTGGAGAAAATCAAGTCCCACTTTTCGTTCTTAAATTTCATTTTACTGGCTGTGATGTCATGGGTTTCAAAGTGTACTTGTATTTTGGTGCCTTTAGCACAACGGAATTTCCTTGAACTTGGTATGTCAAGTCTGTAGTCCCCTTAGAGGACATTTCATTTTTTCCTATTGAAAACAGCGAATGTTTGTGACAGGACGGTGAACAGTGCAGAAACCTCTGCGTCGTCGCCCATATTTTCTTTGTACTCACTTTCTCGCCTTAACAAGTGTGGTCTGACCACAAGCATGGTGTTTTTTGTTTCGATAAAGAATAACTTTGTAAGACTAAAGAAATCGTTTCGCTCTTTAGCGTTCATTTAACATAATTGGGCTTCAGCAGAAGCTGCAAGAAATTGATTTTGCGGTGAGCTGGTGTTAGAATGGTGGCAGTACTGCCCGTCTTCTTTCTTATAGCGAAAGCTGACATGAGATCATAACACGGGCCACGTGGGCGTCGTAGTTGACCAACCGCCGCCGGTGTCTATAACCACTATCACTCGAAATAAGAAAAAGAACTTGGTAAATAAAAAACACCAAGTACACACTGGAATTCAAACTCGGGTCTCCTGTGTGCCAGCCCAGTATTCTACCACTCGCTGAGCCACGCCGGTGCTCAGAACACCTTTGCAAACTGGCCTTAGGCAGGCTTGATGTTGGGAAAGCAATGGCGTTAATATGAGTAATAAAGCGTTTTAGAACAGCAGAGGAACAACCAGGCGTCGATCTTGTGCACCTATTAACTGGTGCACACCCACTGTGGGTGATTGTGGTGATTACGTAAGCGTCTGGCATAATTCTTCGTCGTCAGTCACAGGACAAAACAATTGCACAAAGTTTCTTGCAAGCGTGCAGCGTGTGCCACCCTTCTCTGAAGAATGACAAAGGATGGCATGATGAATGTCCGCCTACTACACAATGATTAATGGCATAGTGGGTACCCTGCAAGTGTGCTTGTAGCAGCCAACCAAATAGTGCTAAAAAAGGGGGGCTGTGAAAGGCCACTCTACTAGCTTTTGCTGTGGCGGTGCTGCACCTTCCGTGCAGGCCTGGTGGTATTTTTTTAAAGGCATACCAAGACATTTTTCACAAAGTGTGTTTTTTGGTCGTCATGACTAGTGGTCATGGAAAATTTTCAATATTGTTCGATTTCACACCTGCCTTTCATATTTGTTTGTGGTGAAAATTTTTGGTAGAATAACATCGACACACGATGTTCAACATCTCATTGGTTACATCTTTATACAAAGAATGTTCTTGTTAACAGTTGTCACTTCTCTGTGCACATAAGTTTGACTTAATGTTTCTGGAGATAAATTGTTCACATGGAAACTTTATTTGCTGTTGTTTGTCATATAAAATATATAGTACATATGACAGTGTCCGTCAGCTTTTCTATGTCCTTGGGACAATGTTTTGTGAAGGCAACAATAATGGAGCTCAAGCACAGTATATAGCTTACAGATGCTCTTTGTTCCGGATGAGACTACCATTACGCAGTATTTAGATTTGTTTTTTTTTTTATGCTTCATCAAACGCATCTATTTAAATTGCATATCGCCTGACGAACAGATGGTGTCGAATTCACTCAGCTCGCAAGAGCAATCCATTTGCAGGTCATGCGAGTTGACCAAAACATATTGCTGTGTTATCCAACATATAGCGCACCTGCTGTCAAGGTGAATGCCATTCATCTGCACCTCTTTTTTTTTTCTCTTTCTTTTTTTTCTGTGCAGACCTGTCCCAAAATTGCAACTGCTCAAACTACGCATTGGTGTTGTGTGAAGTAAACTGAATTTTTGTAGTGAGCGTGAGGTTTTATACAGGTTTGGTGAATGCATTCACTGTACAAAATGAAGTTTTCGTGTCACTGAAGTTTGACAGACGTCCCCTATATGAGCTGTGTCGTGTGTTATCTTTGATCGTTTTATTTCGGGAACAAAAAGGGAATGACTAATGGTGTAATACCAATCAGCTGACTTTTGATATGCGTATGTTGCTTAACTAGGGGTATTTGAAAAATATGGCGACTCTATCATCTCTCTGTCATTTGCAGTTTTAGCTCTTACTGCACAAAAAAAAAAATCATAGCCTCATTGTTTAAAGGGTTATCACTGAAATGGCACATTTTTGATGTAGTGCATGAAAGAATGGGTCCTGCGGGCAAAGGGTGCTTTGATGGCTAAAAAAAATAGAGGGTGGGAATCTTGCTCTCATGATTCCTAAACAAAGATTAACGCAATAGCTTGAGGCTAGATCCAGTCACGATTAGCCAAGGGTAATCAAAAGACATGTAATTTAAAATTAAAAAATATTCTGAATGCACCTAACAAGTTCCATTACTGCTCTGATTATTTATTTTCTCTGATATGAATGTATTGTGACGTATTTCCTTGTTATGATGTGTACTATATCGGCGTACTTTTACTTGCGATCAAATGGACTGTCTTCCTGTTCTTCTTTTACAGGAGTGGAAGCAAATGCAGCTATTCGAAAAATTGCGCCATGTTTCCCTGCAAGTTTAGCATGAAATGACCGGAGAGTATTTATAAAAGAAATGACATGATCAAAAAGAGGCAGGTAAAGCGTGCAACTTGAGTGTACCTGCCTCTCTTTTCTGCGTGTCATTTTTTATAAATACTGTCTGGTCATCTCATGCTAAACTTGCAGGAAAACATTGCATGATTCTTTGAATAACTGGATTTACTTTCACCTCTGTAAAAGCCCTCATTGGAGTTTACAACAACACACAAAATAGTCCTTCAATAAATTTCCTCTCCAAAATATTACTTCAGCCTACTTGGTGTTGTTTTTCTGTGCACTTAATCGTGCTTCATCCTTCTCTGCTTGCAGAAATGCCTCCCAGCACTCTCTGTGTTCTCCAGGAATATCTCGGCAGACTCAACGGTGAGCAAAGTTTTCCTGAACATTAGAAAGTCTTGCTAGTTATTAATATTGATTTATTTTGAGAGAAGGTAAAGCATGTGGACATGGGCACAAGACGAAAAGAACCAGAAGACGCAAATTTTTTGCAATAAAGGCGCGTATTGTCAAGTATGACGGTGCCAAAGCCAGTTTGGCACATATGCGTGTTCATGTGACAGATAGCTGTTTAGCTCAACCACCGTGACGACACTACGCAAATGTGCATTTGTGTTGTCCCACTGGTCATTCGTTTTGTTTCTGGTGCCCGTAAGTGTGCCTTACCTAATTTCATGAGTTCTCTGTTTTGCAGGCTGGGCCTTGTTCAAGCATGCAAAACAAGAACACAACTTTCGGTGTTCTTGCATTCTCATTCATTTCCTGCTTGTGATTTTGTCCACATTAGTGTTGGTTTCAACACGGTCAATACCATTTAATGATATATGAGCCAACTGTCACGTGCTGTTTCGCTAGACTGGGCCGTTCCATCAGTAAACTCGATGCTTCACCATCACGGGGCAACTAATTTAGTAATTTTCAGATGTATTGCCGGTGCAGCTGCGTAGGTTTTTTTTCAATTAATGTATTGAGAAATAGCCTGCAGACTTCTATTTATGCTTTTTAAGAAAACGGTGAAAACTTCTCCTGCAGTCTCGCTTCAATAATATGCGTACCTAATGTGGACGGATGTGTGGTTTGCAGGTGCTGCCCTGACACAAGCCCAATTGTTCGGTACTGTGCCTGTATTGTAGTAAACTTTTCATGGGCCATGCGTGGCATGGTAGCGATTGTCCAAGCCCATTTCATTGTAGAAGAAAGCAGGAAGAAATGTTAGGTTAGGTGGTTCTGGATTTGTGTCACTTCTGTCATGCTTGAAATTGTTAAATAGTTAATCTCTCATAAAAGCATTTCATATGTACTAATGCAATGATGCTTTGAGGCATTGTGTTCAGATGCAGAAATCAGATGTCCTGGAATTTTGAGAAAGTGCCTGGTAGAAAAGCTACCGAAATAAAGGTTAACATTGTGATAATGCTGCTATAAATAAGCTATGCCAATAGACAAGTTAAATGCAGTTAGTATTAGTGTTGGCGATAGCTGCTCACCCTTTGTTTAAAGAGTAGCTTGACATGATGCAAGCCCCAGCAAAAGTGAAATGTGTCTGTGTTTGTGTGTAGGACCTGAAAGGCCTGATGGCCAACAAGATCAAGACATTCCAGTCTCAGGTCAAGGAGTTCCGGCAGAAATGCGGCAGCCAGGTCATCGGAGAGGTCACCATTGACATGGTACGTGAGCCGACTCTTTTGTCTTCCTAGAATGCGGTGGTCAGTCACTTCTGTGGCTCTATGAGATGAGCCAGTCATCTTCAAAGCTTGTGTATTGAGTTACCATCAAGAAGTAGCCAAGAAGTACAATCAATGCAGTTTTTATTTAACAGGTATGGTTTTAGGGACAGCCTAGCATCTGAGGTGTATTTGTCTGCTCATTGTTTTTCTGACTGTTGTACTGTACTAATCGAATTGACGTTCTGGTATAGCAAAATCTGTGACACAATTAATATGTTAGGCTTGGTGCATAGGTTGCAAGCTAAACTACATTATCTGCGAGGACATGGGGGCCATATACAAAAAGATAGCAAATGTGAATACAGAATATTGCACACTTGCGTAGTTTATCTGTATTCATGCACCTGTCATACACCTGTGGCCCAAACAAAGGGAACATGCTGGGGGCAAGCTCACCGGTCATATATTTCATTTGTGTGTGCACGCAAGTAGTCTGAAAACGTTGCAAGTTTTGTTAAGTGAAACTTTCCTTGCTTATTGTCCTGCAGAACAGCTTCTCTCACTAGCCAGTCAGCTGTCATTCTCACGCCTTTGTGAGAGCTCCTTCACTTAGAAGAAAATTTCGAACGACTCGCAACTATTGCTCAATAGTCAACAAATTAGTCCACATCTCAAGTAGATGGGGCACTCATTGCACAGTTTGGGAGGTTTACTCAGTGAACCAAGACTTTGACCGGCATTCGAGAAGTGTTCCCTATTTTCTGTCTGCACCACCAGACTGTCTGCCCTCTGAAAATCGCAAGTGGACCTTCAGTGTCGTGCCTTATAGCTGTACACGTATTTAAATAACCAAATTGGGCTATCTTTGTTTGCTGCTGGCTTTCTGTTGTTTTTTATTGTTGGCTGTCATCTTACTCTTGGGTTGTTTTCTTTTCACATGGGATAAAAAGCTCAATCAAGTGTTATTTTTCATACAAATTTTTTCTTTTTACATTTCGTGGGACAATGCCTTTGGTAGCATTCTCATACGATCTATTTTTCTGGGAGCCAGCTTTGCTGGCATTGTTCTCAGCTCCTTCCACGTTTTCTTGTATCCCCTCTACTGTTCAGGTGTTCTCCGTCGAGATTCGCTTTTTGATTTTGTAAGCAAAGTTAAACTCAAAGTTATCGTGTGCTCCTGTAGTACACGGTCATTAAGTGGAACATTTTGGGACCAGGAAAATGTGTTCCATTTAGCAGAGGTTCCACTTGTAGAAAGATGAACAGGGATGCACAATGCAAGTACGAAACTAATCATGTTAGAAGAATTTATTTCTTTTAAGCATTGATTCCATTCAAAAGATTTTAATTTAGTGAGAGTGTACTGTATTATCTGTATAAAGTGGTCATGAAGCAGGAGAAAGCCAAGTGCAAAGTGTACGTGGTGTGTTATTCTTTCTTGTTGAGGAGTGATTCGTATGTGTATAAGTATTAAATCACTAGAGCTACCTTGTAAGCCATTTGGAATTGGCTACACAAATTTCTACAATTGGCTACACAAGTTTCCAATTAGCCTGCTCTTGCCCAGGTGTGCAGCATTCTTTCAACCACAATTTTGCCTTCTCCACACAAATTACCTTTTTCAAGGGCTTGCCCTAGAGCTTCGCAGTGCCTTGTCTCATGGCGTTTTGTGGCGTGATTGCAGGTCTACGGTGGCATGCGAGGCATCAAGGGCTTGGTGACGGAGACGTCCCACCTGGACCCCGAGGAGGGTATTGCCTTCCGCGACTACTCGATCCCACAGATCCGCAAGCTGCTGCCCAAGGTGCCTGGCGGTGAAGAGCCCCTTCCCGAGGGCCTCTTCTGGCTCCTTCTCACTGGTGATATCCCCACACCCGAGCAGGTGTGTCATTCCCGCTCCCTCTCGCTCTCCGGATAAGTTCTTAGGGGGCTAGTTAACAACCCCTAGGTTCAAAATTTATGATGGAGATAGCTGCATCGTAGTACAACATGAACATGCCGTTGTTAGAATTTGGCAAACAGCTGGAATAAAGACGGGATGAAACAACCCTGCAACCTAAGCAGACATTCTGTCATTTCAAAATGACTACGCGACATATTTGATTGCTTGTGCGGCCATAAGTTTGTCTGTTTTTCTTTTACTCTTGTCTTCATCACCACACCTATTTTTCTTTATTCACTTCAACTGCACGAAATGTTTCCACGATAACCTTGCTTAATAATTCTGACTGTGCTCTTTCACTCTTTGAGTTCATACATTATGTATACTGTGTGCTCTCGTTTGATCGCTGTGAAACCGCCCAGTGGCCAAGTTCTTCTCAAGCTGCTCAATGCAGCTTTTTTTTGCCTAGGGGTCCTCGCAACCTTATTGCAAGTCAACTCTATTCAATTCAGTGCAATGCTAACAAAGGACCACGCAAGAACAAACAAAACTTGATATTCAAAGTAGTGCACGTCTGAATAGAACAATAATGCCAACCAGACTCTAACTTCATGTTAGATCATAGTCAGTGGCCATTTGGTCGTCTAGCCGTCTCCATTTTCTATGTCTTACATGCGCTATTATGCCGATCATTCACTAGTACAAGCTCATCTAAGTTCTTGTTTTTGTAAATATAGGAGAGTGAAAGCTGTTGTATTGTTAAGACACTGAAAGAGAACATGACACTAGAAAGAGAACTAGTGGGATTGTTTTATTGGTTTTATTGGTATTGTTTTATTGGCACCACCAACGCAATTAGTACATTATAGTGCATTTCACTGCCTCCCACCGACACTCCGACTGCTGCCTATTCTCTTTGCGCCCTTTCTGACTGATAACTTGCATTAATATTTTGCTCCGACTTGGGCCACTTGGTATGGCATGATTGTTTTCATTGTTATACTTTTGCCTGTAAACAATCGCTCATGTGTGCATGTCTGGTATTGTCTTTTGTGTAATGATACCAGTATGTGTTTGAATTAAGGGGGGACGAGGCCCTTGAAAACCGAAAAATTGCGAAAAAGTCGGTTTTTGAAAAACCACATTTTTGGGTTGTATGTCTCATAAACTACCTATTCTGTAATTATCAGCACCTAATTCAACCGCAAAGTGCAAAAAAAATACTATTTTCGAGGCCGCCGCGGCGTTCAAAACAGGCGCAAATCTTGAAATCAAACCAAACTTCGCGCGCGCGCCATTCCCGGACCATGCGGTCGTCCCGCGCCATCTTGGTGTTGTTTTGACCGTGAATTCTTTCTCACTCGTTCGCCGCCTTGCAAAATGGCGTCGGCAGCACAGTTGAGACGCTATTGGCGTTTTCCCGCGATGCGATGCCGAGCGCTGATTGGCTAGAGCAGCGCATTCATATCTCGCGGGAGAAAGCGTGCCCGCCATTGGCTGCTGTGCAGCAGCGGGGGCGGTCGCTCCTCTCGATGGCGCGTCCAGCGCGCTCGCTTCGTTGTTGCTCTCTGCTCCGTCCGCCTCGACAGACGTCTGCTTACGAGCCGCTCTTCGCCTTGTGCTATCTTTTCGATCATTTTCTCTCGTTTTTTTTTTTTTTTTTTTTTTTGCACTAGTTCTGTGCCTTTCGTCTTTGTTGTTGCGGGCGATGCCGGCAACAAAGCCGAAGTCAGTGCGGAAGTCCGGTGCGCGGAGGCGCGCTATGCGGCTTGTACGATCATCGAAATTCCGCTATTCTGCTGCGGGTGCCGACTGCATAGACGCTTGCAGCGACGGAACTGTGTTGTCGGCTGTCGCCAGTCGAGAATCCGACACATCGAGTGTGGCTGGAGCCGCAAATGCACCTAGTGTTTCCGAGATCGCCGGGCTCGACACGTGCTCCGAATCGATGCCATCCAGTGTGACACCGAGTGCTTCTGATATCGCCGGACCCAGCACTTCGTCTGAATCGGTGCCGCCATCGAGCGTGAGTGGACCGTCGCTTCATCTGCGGACGCGTTTCCTAACGAAGGAAGAAATCGATGCGAATGCGAAACGTCGTGACGCCGTTCGCGCTGAACTCGAGTCTACGCCGGCAACGCAGAAGAAATTTCAACTGATGCAGCCGGCTCTTGCACCTGCAGTGACAAGTGAGGGCGAACATTTTTCACTCGTTCAAATGAACATTTTTAACGTCGTGCTCAGCCGCACAGTGTGCAAAGAATGTTTGAAAGGTGCTATGACTGTCCGAGAGAGCACCAAGCTTGGACTTGCAACAAAACTTGAAGTCGTGTGCGCCTCTTGTGGCACCGTCGATAAATTATGGACATCACCCCGCAAAAAGGACACGCAGGCCTTCGATGTAAATGTCCGCGCCATAATGGCTATAAAGCAAATAGGCAAGGGGCAAACAGCTCTTAATGACTTTTGGGCGGCCATGAACGTCTCTTACAGAGGTCTTCACCACAAGACGTTTCAAAGTTTCAAAAGCACTTGAAAGAGACGTTCAGGAAGCCAGAGGCCACCGCTTTGGAGAAGTTTTATGCTGATTCTGCCACAGCAGTGATCAAAACATATAAAGAAATGGACCCCAGCTTCTGCAAGGACATCACCGTAGTGTACGATGGCACATGGCATAAGCGGGGTCACGCATCACACATCGGAGTGGGATCGGTAATTGACTTCTTTACAGGTCTCATCTTGGATGCTGTAGTTCTTTCAAACCACTGCCTTGGATGCCAAACAGGGCCCAAACCTGGAGATGCAGCATACGAAAGCTGGCAGAAGCACCACATTTGCCAGAAAAACACAGACGCAAAATCGGGAAGCATGGAAGTGGAGGCAGGCTTGACTCTCTTTGGGCGGTCTGTATCCAAGCATGGCCTGCGGTACACCACTCTTGTGTCCGACGGAGACAGCCGTACCTTCGCTGCCCTCACAGAAGAGAATGTGTACGGGCTAATGCCAATTGTAAGAGAAGAATGTCTGAACCATGTTCAGAAAAGGATTGGAAGTGCTCTTCGAAACATTGTGCAGAAAAGTGATAAGCCACTGAGTGGGAAGGGGAAGCTGACTAAAGCCCTCATTGAAAAGCTGACAGGATATTATGGTTGGGCCCTGAGAAACAATTCAACTGACCTAACAGCCATGCAGCGTGCAGTGATGGCAACATATCACCACGTCACATCGACTGACCAGGACCCTCACCATGAACTTTGCCCAGAGGGGGCTCAATCGTGGTGCCGCCTTAGAGCTGCAGAGGCAAAGAGTGAGCCACAGCCAAAACATAAACACAGCCTACCGGACTATGTCGCTGCAGCTATGCTGCCCATCTACGAAAGACTGTCACGAAAGTCGCTTCTTCAGCGCTGCATGGGAGCGAAGACGCAAAATGCATCAGAATCATTCCACTCCATTCTGTGGTCTCTGATGCCGAAGGAACAACACTCATCCTTGATCACGGTAGAAACAGCATTGCATGAAGCAGTGCTGCGCTACAATGCCGGCTGCTGCAAAGCAACCCAAGTGATATCGAACTCCATTGGACTTCAACCAGGTCATCTGGCCATCCAGCGAGCTCGTGAAAAGACGCTTTACGCCTAAAAAAGAATTCTAAAAGACACCAAGAGAAGATGGAGGCCAGGCAAAAGAAGAAAAGAGTGCGCCAGGACACTTCTAGCTACTGTGCTGGAGCTTTTTGAAGAAAACACGTGTTTTGAACTTTCTCGGCCTGTTTTCTCAGAACGGATTTTTTTGCTAGTTGTGGTGCTGAGGAAAGCAACAACTCGAAAACCGTTCATCAGATTTGTGTGCCGTTTTTTTATTCTGTTCCTGAATGACCTTGCAAGGGCGTAACAAGCTCCTTTTTTTTGAAAATTGGTGCTGTTAATTTATAATAAACAATTAATTTTTGATGAATCTGGTCATTACTGGTTACATCAAATTCAAAGTTGCGTGAAAATTTGGGGGGGGGGGGGGGATTAAAAAAACGGCTTTGTAGCGCCCTGGGATAGCTATCAAGGAATGACCACAATGAATTTCAGCTTTCTACTATGTCCTGGGATTTCTCACGACTCTTCCTCAGGCACCCATGTGAAGCACCCAGTTAAACCTCAATAACTCTGGAACTAAGAAACACAGCTTCGTGAAACTTAGCAGTTGTGCTAGTTTTATTGTAGTGAACAACCCCTGAAAGTTTCATCCAGATATCTTAAAAAATAAAAAAGTTCGGTCTCCAGGGTAGCCTCCCCCCTTAAACAAAGCTAGCTGTAAGGACAGGACAAGCTCTTTGACAAGTGTTCACACAAATACTTTTTTTACTTGTGGGTTCGTACTGTAAGACCTAGTCATCTGTCATTGGCTCTGGCATATTTTATGGTCATTGCCTTTTCTTAACAAAGTGCATTGGCAGATCATATTCAAAATAAAACTTTGCAGCCCTACTGATAGAAAAATGCATGCACTAAGTTTTGTTTGATCTCCGCCTTCAAAAAGGGATAAATACCAATTAATAAACTCCTGCAATGGTAGAGCCCGCCAAGTCGATGCTAAAGGAGAGCAACTCCGGTTGCCCTCAACTCTGCTTGCAGGTGAAGTGGGTGTCCAAGACATGGGCTCAGCAGGCGGACCTTCCCTCGCACGTAGTCACCATGCTGAACAACTTCCCCTCGCACGTGCACCCCATGTCCCAGCTGAGCTGCGCCATCACCGCCTGCAACACCGAGAGCAAGTTTGTGCAGGCTTACAACAAGGGCGTGCCCAAGGCTACCTACTGGGAGGTGAGCATGCTCTGGTCAAAGAGCATAGCACGGTGAAAAGAATGCATATTAAAGCAGAAGCATATCATGCACATTTCATCAAAATACCAAGGACTGAATGGGCTAGGCAACTTAGTACAAAAACAGAATGTATCGAAACTTTGTATTCAGAGATCTCAAGTTCATTTTAGTAGGAGACAGAAGTTCATGTCAGGTAATGTTAACAGTTAATGTCAAACATATGCTTAAGTGCTTAAGCAGGGATAAGAGGTTTCAGAAGCAGTTTATGTGTACTTGCATAAGAAATTCTATTTGCGGGTCTATAACTGAGGGAAAACGAGTGTTTAAAGTAGGACAACCTAAACTTGGCCGTTTCAAGGCAAGGCATGGTGTGACATTCACACAACTCTACGTTGAACAGAACAGCATGAGTGTAAATGGTGTCATTGAGTGGAAAATAAATGAGCATTGAGTGGAAAGTGAATTCGAATATTCGAAGGAATCTCAATGTATCTGAATTTGCTTCGATGCGAATTTAAGTTGTTGAAAATTTCCAAGTATTCTAGATAAAGGAATAGATGTATAGAGTTTAGCTCGCATATAAAGGCCCCACTTTAGATGAACTTTCGCTTAAAACGAACAATATACGCGTGACCGCAAAAATATACATTGCTTTAATGACACAAAATCGCACTTGCAACGAACATCTCTAAGCGCCGCCGATCGGTTACAGCGAACGGAGTTGGCGCTCTGCTGATTTTCCGGGAAACCACTTTCGACCGTCCATCAGGCATCGGCAAGGTGCCCATAGATTCTTATTGTTAAACGCCGACCCTGCCTCCGCGCCCCTCCAGTTGCCGCTCTCCCCGACCGCTTTTTGTTACGCACCCCTCCGTCCTTTGTCCTACCGCTACTCTGAGCACCCCGCATCGCCAGACGCAGTCCGTGTTTTCACACTGCCACCGATCTTTCGAAGATCAGTCGGCCATCTCCCCAGTTTTTAATCGCTGGTACTGTCGTTGGCGTCGCCGGCCTGGAGTGACCTAACCATTCGCCAACATCGTCTCTATTCGATCGTCTGCATCTTGTCTTACTGTATGGTTCTAGTGCAATCGCGTATGCTATCCCACCCGCTGTGATGATTCGCGATTCGTTTCGTGTTTAGGACCTGTTCTGGCTCACTTTGCACTCGGCTCAACACTTGCGGAAGCGTAAAAACGGCTGTGAATTTGTGTAGAACAAATGATGAAATATCGAAGTCGGTGAGGCCACGCAAACTTGCCGGCGCAACAAAACAATTCTTTGAGCACCGCCGCGCGCGCTGATCCAGGCGGCCGTGTTTAGACTTCTCTCTGTGCATGCAGGCCTTCTTTCAAGTTTTACTTCGCGCGGTTTGCACTCTTCGCGGACCTTTCAAGCAAGCTACCCAACCTGCCGCCTTCCCACGTGTCTTGGTTTTCAAGGTCGCTTTCCCGCCAAATCCTCTCCTCTCTTCACTCTATCGCAACTCCTTCCTTTTCCTTCTCTCGCAAATCTGCTTTCCTCTCTTGATCACAACTCCTTCGCCTGTCTCCACAGCTCTGCGACGCCAGCCACGCTGGCTCGAATTCAGTAGTTTTTTTTCAGAAGCTTTACCACGTGTTCTGCAATGTGTGTAGCGTGTGCATGTCTTGCTCGCTCTCGGTGTGCGTGTGTGGTCAGGATGGCGGACGGGAAGCCTTGCATGCTGTTTCTTGCCGCTCAACAAAACATTGAAAGTGTGACCGCTTGGCTTGGGCCTAATCCGCGCGTTAGGTGCCGCGTTGCGGAGCGCTTGCTCATAGCTGTTAACCACCTGGCAGCTAACTTGCCGCTTTGGGGGTCCCCGGTATTCAGCTGTGGAGATGGTGAAAATTTCGTGGGCGACGGTGAAGGCTACATACACACGAAGCTGTCTTCGCGAGGCCAACTTTGCCGACGTCGGGCCCAATGCCGAGCCTGACGCTTCCAAACAGGACCACTGAGGCAGTGATTTGTGGCAGCACGTCGTCGACTCCGACATGAGAGAGCAAGTGGGACATCTGTTGCGATGGTTTCATTACAGCCGATGTTGATGCCGACACTGTGGAACCATGCAGGGATTAGGGCTTTGTGAATGAAATACGCAGCAAGAGCGTTTTTAGAGAACTCAGATTGCGAAAACGACAAAATTTTGAAGCCAGTGCCTTATGCAGCATATGCCACGGTCCTCAGCACAGAGCGCGCTGCTGTTTGAAATAAACTTGAGACCGTCCTTATCGCTTCTGCTTTTCGAAACGCGTGCATCGCGGACATTTTTGCACAAAAGATTTTGTGTTGTCACTCGAAACTTTTTTAAAAGCTGTTTTTTATTTAGTACGAACTTTGGGATACAGCGAACGGATGCTGCATCAGGCTCAAGTTCGTTGTAAGCGGGCTCGACAGTATCAGTCCACATGTAATCTCTTGTAAAGGTTGTTTCACTGCAGTAGAGGGGTGCTAAGCCATGAAAACACCTAGTCAAGGGAAATCCACACTGCCGCGATTCTCTCAAGGTTTAAAGGGGTACTGACACAAAATTTCGGGTCCAAGATAGCCGGTGGGGTCGATTCTCAAGAACGATTCTCTAGAACATATTGATATCTGCAAGATATCAACAGGGAATATAGCTTGGAAGGTATGTTAATTAATATTGAAGTTTGCGTGAGTGACCCACTCCATAGTACTATAGACACCTTCGGAGGTGACCCCGAGGGGACGCTCTACTTCCCTCACGTCACCACGCTGCGGTCAACAAAACAAGTTATGATGACGTCATAGCCGTCATTTTTCGTTTCCCACGTTAGTTCCCGAAGTCTATATTTCTCGGCGGCTGGTTGCGAGTGCGCGGCCGTGGTGCACGCTTTAAAAGTTTTGTGCTTGGCGACATTCTAGTGCCGTTTCCTATTTGAAAGTAATTCTTGATGTGGATCGTGCGAAAGTGCATCACAATTCTGTGTGCTGACATGGTCAAGTGTTGCACACGCTAAGTGGCGACAGTTGCACCCAGTTTTTGGGACTCTCTCAAATCGAAATTGATCAATAACAAGGGGCCTGTAATAAGTTATCTGTCGCGTGCTGCAGCAAATAATGTGTCCTGTCTCGACTAACAGCCCTACAGCAACGCACTGCAGCAGGAAAACGCGAGGCCAAATTTTTTGTGTCAGTACCCCTTTAATGAATACAATGGCTTCACGTCAATTCATAATTTTTTAAGCTTACAAGTTTTTCATGCCAGCTTATATGCTTCGAGTACAGTCAATTTTAAAACGTAACATATTTTACAGGTTATCGGTTAAATTCTACCAAAAGTAAAATCCGGCTACTGTTTAAAGTTGTTTCCTCTTCCTCTGAACCAAAAAGAATGGCATTCAGTTCCACAGGCTTTCAATTTAAAAATACAGTAAAAGCTCGTTAATTCAAATTTCACGGGACCGGAAAAACTGTCCGAATTAACCGAATGCCGAATTAACGAATGAACAGGGAAAACATTTAAAATCAAGCTGCAGAAGCATACCTTTATTTGTTGAAGTATTTTGTAATTGTCGTCTGCATTTTCGCGCAGATTCCGGCTGACATCACAATTTTTCTTAACTGTTCCAAATGACCAACAGCACGCAAGCTGTCGGGAGTGTTCAGGCAAGCGTCCTGTAATATTAACAGCGCTTCCGAGATTTCCCGTGAGGTGCGATGAGGTCGCGGCTGTATCTCCTCGCATGATTCTTCGTCGGAATTGTGGTCTTCATGGGCGCCCGTGACATCATTAATAATCTCTTGATTGGTCAGGAGACCACTCGTGGCGACACCATGATCAATCGCGATGTAGTCCTGAAAGGTCACATCTGTGGGAAGGACAGCATCGAAAGTCGGGCAGTCATCGTCGGTGGACTCGGCTGACACCTCCTCGATGCCATCGTCAGCTACTGCTGCATGCTCGGGCCTCACAAAACCGCTGTGCCGAAAACAGTTGGCGATGACTTGCGGCGGAGTGTTTTTCCACACGTGGGCGATGATGTGCACTGCGCCGAGTAAGTCCACTTGATACAACTTTCCAACTTCTGAGCATAGGATCATTTGCTCTAGCAGGTGCTTGCGGTACTTCGACCTCACGTAGTGAATGATACCCTGGTCCATCGGCTGAAGAGCAGACGTAGTGTTGGGCGGCAAAAAAACTACTTTGATGCTCTTCAGTTTGACTGTACAGTTATGGGCACTGCAGTTGTCAACAACCATAATTATCTTGCGGTCCTTCGGCGTGAAGTGCCGGTCCAACTGCTGCAGCCAGCCGCGAAAAATGTCCGATGTCATCCATGCCATCCTGTTCGCTGTGTACTCGACAAGAAGGCTTTTGACGTTCTTAAAACAACGTGGCTTAAGCGCCTTCCCGACGACAAGTAGTGGTAAGCGCTCCGTGCCAGTCATATTGGCGGCAAGAAGCACAGTTATCCTTTGCTTGCACTTCTTGCCACCAATGCACGCGTCCCCTTTGAAAGTCACCGTCTTGTCGGGCAGAGCTCTGAAAAATAGAGCAGTTTCATCTGCATTGAACACGTCACGTGGTTCATATGCGGCGATGTGCTCCAGCAGCTTCACATTTCTCCACTCGGTGGTCACGCTTTCGTCAACACTGGCCTTTTCGCCGCACACACTCCTGAAGACAAGTTCGCGTCTCTCTCGAAACCTCGCAAACCACTCTTCTGACGCTTTGAACGATTCAATGTTCATCATTGCAGCGTACTTCTTACCTTGCGCCATGATGAGATGTCCGCTCAAAGGCAGATGCGTGTTGCGACAGTCAGTAATCCACCGTAGCAAAGCTTCTTCGAGCTGGGGATGAGCTGCGGTTCGCAACCGCTTTCTAGAGGCATGAAACTTCTCGCTTTCGAAGGCTTGTCGAATCTGTTGTTCATTTTTCACGTACGTTCCCAACGTGCTCCGCTTCACGTTGTACTTGGTCATAACCTGCTGTCGTGATTCGCCGTTCTTCAGTGCTTCCAAAATTTCCACTTTAGTCGCCAAGTTCTTCGCGTCATAGTTCTGCCGCTTTTTCGTCGTTGCCATCACTGTAGCGCACGATGTTGGTGGCATGCAAATACGGTCACAATGGAAGAAAAAGAGAACTCCGCAAGAAGACATGGTTTGGACATGACAACACAAGCAAAAATGGGGTCGGAGGCGCTGAGTGGAAAAGAAAAAAGACGCCGACGTTCGGTGACGCTGCGATCGCCCCCACTAGTTGATGATGATGGCGATGCCACTCAGGTTTCGGTTTCACTCCAGTGGTGCCAGCGCTGCTTTATCACATTTTTGTGTAGCAGCAGCCGTCATCATTTGTCCGAATTAAGCGGTGCGGAGCCAAATTCCAACGAAATAACGAAGGTTTGGTCCCATAGATTAACATGCACTTTAGCCGGGACCAATAGAGCCGTCCGAATTATCCGAATATCTGAATTACGGGTGTCGAATTAACGAGCTTTTACTGTATATATATTCTGCAGGTCGGTTAGTAGGGTCATGACAACTATGCCCATTTTTCTGCATAATAAGTAATTTATATCATTCACTTTCGACCAAAATCACTATTCACACAAGCCTAGATGTAACTCACTGTCTCAGTGCAAATGTACAATGCACTGGGGTGCCTTGCATGTGTGCTTTGAGTCTTTTTCCCAACTTTGAAGACCAAGATGAGGAGAACATTCAGCTGGAAAGAGAGTGAGGAGTCTGCAGACAGAAACTAAAAAGTAGGCCTTCATCCCAACTACGCAATCAGGGAAAGATTGCAGATTGCGACCAAACTTCCACGAAGGCCTGTGACTGTTCATGAATTTCATGAATTCTGTTTCGTGCTTTCATGTCTTGCGTTCCAGCGATTGTGCTCGGAGTGCTTATAGGATCGTCCGAATTAACCGGACTGCGGCCAAATGTGACTGAATTAATGGCTTAGATGCTATTAAACAACAGAGAGTTGTCCGATTAGTATAGCCATCAAAAGAAAAACGAAAATTTGGGAATGGTGTCGATTTATTTCTCAACACAGTCCCCTTTCTACACTATACACTTCACCCAGTGATCTTCCAACTTCTTAATCCCATCGGAAAAGTACATTTTCTCCTGAGCTGCAAAGTAGGCTTCGGTGGCGGCGTTAACTTCTTCGTTTGACTAGAATTTTTGCCCGGCGAGCGACCTTTTTAGTTGGGAAACAAAAAGAAATCACTGAGGGCCAAATGTGGAGAATACGTTGGATGGGGCACCACTTCGTAGCCCAGTTCGACCAACTTAGCCGCAACGACAGCGCAGGTGTGAGCTGGCGGGTTGTCATAGTGGAAGAGCATTGTTTTCTTCACCAACTGTGACAGTTTTTTTTTTTTTTTTTCAATTCGGCGTTGCATTGATCCGGCTTAGTGATTTGGTGTAGTAGGGTCCTGTCACAGTTTTGCCCTTTTCAAAGTATGGGCGAAGATCAAACCTTAAGAATCCCAGAAAATGGTGGCCATCATCTTTCCAGCCAATGCGACAGTCTTCGCCTTCTTTGGAGCAGGTTTTCCTGGCGCAGTCCAGTGTTTCGACTGTTCTATTGTCTCTGGTGTGTACAAGTGGATCCATGTTTCGTCGACGGTCACGAAACGATGCAGAAACTCCTTCGGATTACACTTAAACAGCTTCAAACGCTGCTCTGAAGTGGTCTTATGGACACACCTGTTGTCCGGAGTGAGCAAACCTGGCACACATCACGCAGACAGCTTTCTCATACCCAAAATTTCATGCAGGATATGACCCACGTAGTCTTTCGAGACGCCTGCTGTCCCTGCTATCTCGCGCACCTTCGGTCAATGGCATGCCAGTGCGAGGTTGTAGATTTTGCCACGTCATCGGCCGTGGTAGCTGTTTGCGAGGCCCCTGGCGAGGCTCATCAAACACCGATTTGTAACTACATTTACACTCATTGAACCAATTATGGATGGTTGCCTTCAAAGGAGAAGCTCCACCGTAGACAGCATCCAGCCGCTCTTTGATTTCATTGCACAATTTCTCTTCCAAAAACAAGAATCGAATTACTGACTGATATTTTTTCTCTTTTCAATGCTTAACAGGCACACGAAAATGGTCTGCTTCCTCAAGCGGCCAAAACAAAACCACTAGCCCAATCCTTCTAAACCTTTGTGTGTTCCCTCTAAGAGAGCGTACGCAACGTCGGTATATGTCTCATGCGATAGCGTCGCGCTCTCAAAGTGAGGCTAAGTACTTATCGGACCACCCTTGTATGCTTGCTTGCCAAGACCGGACAACACATCCAATTGATCAGGCTTTCCAAGTTATTGAGGTTTCAATGTACTACCAAAAAACTTTAGTGTAAGCTCTTCTTGTTAACTTATGCTTGTGGGATGATTGTTCATCCATCGCCCCTTTGCATGTGCAGCACGCATTTGACGACACCATGGCGCTTCTGGCGAAGCTGCCACCAATTGCGGCCACCATCTACCGCAACTTGTTCCGTGACGGCAGCAGCATCGGTGCCATCGACGTGTCCAAGGACTGGTCGGCCAACTTCACTGCCATGCTGGGTTACGATGACCCCAACTTCACCGAGCTGATGCGCCTCTACCTGACCATTCACAGGTACTTGACTGTGCCCAAAATTCAGCCATTTTAATGGTGCTATCACATGCGCCCTCCGAGTGCCAAAGATTGGCCGATTATAGAACACACTATGCGGGGATAGAGTTATCAATTTAAAATTTAAATGGAACACGACGGCAGCGGCAAAAACCTGTCGAGATTGTCCATACAATTTCTATCGCCGTAATAAAGCTATTACAAAACTCAGCTTAGTGTTCGATAAATGCAGCATCATTGAGCAAATGTTGCTTCACTAGTGCTTTGAATGGGGCTATATCTGCTCTGAATGTTCTTACTGCTCTGAACTCCTTCAAATAGGCCCGTCTGGCTGCTTTGAGCCTGCTCCAAAATGTCTTTTTGTCTGCTCGAACTGCAAAAAACACTTTTTCCTGCTCCCAGGACTGCTCCCCAACCCATGTACCCTGCTCCACTTCTCGAAAAGTGAAAACACACTGCTCCAGCTGTTTGGTCACACATTCTTTAGTGGTACAGTTAGAGGCATGCACATGTAAGCAATTCTCGTCTTTTACATGAGGTGTCTTTTAAAAGCATGGTGCCATGTATGCATTTCATTATGAACTCCTATTCCAGTACTGACACTCTGGTGTCTCCTATACATACCCATGTCTTTCACATTAGTCTCTCTTACAAAAGGGTTCAACTGTATATTCCTGCGCACAAGGTTAATGCATATCTGGTATCCACTCTTCTCACTACGTCCACAAAAAGCAAAAAGGCTTTATAAAATGGGAGTCTTTATATTTCTTTTCGTTCGTGCTATTTTGCCCGTGAGACACTGGTTCCTATGCTTTTTATTTTTGTTTCATGCGAGGCAGCTGTGGTAGCAATTCCACGCTAAGTTGAAGGCGCTTCGACTTTCAACTACACGATAGTGTCTAACTAGTATCATAGCGCAAGATCTTACTTGAGAGGATTACTGATCACTTGAGCAAGAAATGCACGTAGGTCACGGTTGGCACTCATATCTGCCCATTTTATGCCAGTTCGTGTCGCATGCTTGCAATCGTTGATCACTTGCCCTTTAAGAACAACATTTAAATTCTTTCTCCAAAACACAACCCAGAACGAATTACAGTAGATTCTCAGTAAACGGAGATCTCCTAAACGGAACAACTGCCTCTTACATGATTGGTTTGTTGCTGTATTCTGCAGCCTTGTTCATGTCTCATTAAACGAAACCGCTGTTAAATAAAACATATTTTCTCAATCCCTTTAGGTCTTATTTAACGAGCATCTACTGTATGTAGCTATGCAGGTGTCAGCAATCGTGTGACTAAATTAATTGTTATGCTAACTCTATTGCCATGACCAAGACTGTTGTGTTGTCATTTCTTCTGTGTCCTCTTGCTACTTTTCTCTGCAACATAAGACTTTAGTTATAGGGCTGTCTGTTGTTCTTCAAGCACAATCCAAGTGCCATGTTTGCAAATAATACAGCCGCCGCACAATGAAGCTTTGTATTTTGCACAGTTGGTTGCTCAAACCGCCAGTCAGGCAGACTAGCTCAGTTCGCGAGCATCGAAGATGTGACATGCTCTTGAATTTCTGGCTAGATTCTTGCAGAGAACGGCTCATGACAAAGCAAATGGTTCTTGACGTGCCTGTAGAATTTGCGAGAGGCCACACTCTGTGACCAGCGTGTAATCTGCACTTGCTCTCCTTTGCCTTGCAGTGACCATGAAGGCGGCAACGTGAGCGCGCACACGACCCACCTTGTGGGCAGCGCCCTATCCGACCCGTATCTCTCTCTGGCTGCCGGCATGAACGGTCTGGCCGGACCTTTGCACGGCCTTGCCAACCAGGTGAGCTCTTTATGCCGAGCCTTCTTATCCTCAAAGCAATGTGTGGCGTAAGATTACTTGGGGTTGACATCAGTAGCACCATAGAAATACTAAGGAGAGCCAGACGATCAAAAATGCATGCCAAAAGTTCTGCAGCCTGGCATCTCTGTAGCTGGGATCGTTTTTAGATACCCCCCACTCCCCTTTGTCATTTGTCGTGTTCTCTCTCTCTGCTGCTGTTTGCCAGCTTGAGACACCAGCTAGCTCAAGGCTACAAGAAATCTAAGACAGGAGACAGTTATGAGGCCTATTGGTGCTCCAGTAGACACAATTATTCCTCGACTCTGTTCGTAGCAGTTTACGTTATTTTTGTACCTTCAGTTGTGGGGCCGGCTTAAGGTTTATTGCCACCATTTATGCGTGAAGGAACAGTTCAGTGTTTTTCTCCTGCATATATGTTTAGTGGAGGCGTGCAAATGTTCAAAGGTTTGAATACAAACCAAGCATTATTTTTTGGTCATACGTAGTGTCTTCAATACAAAAAATGCATATTTGTATGCTACCAAATAATCAGTCATGACCAAATAAAAATGGCAAATATTCAGTGGGACCTCAAATTTTAGAACAACTGGTAAATTACGAGTACCCTGTGACTGTCTGCGATTTGAAATAGGTTGACAGCTGTATTCATGTCCACAGTAAACTGGTTTCGTCTGCAATTGACGATCGCCATGAATTATTTTTTTTAGAACACTCTCTTGTAACGGAATGGGGCAGTGTAAGTTTTTAACTGAAATACACAGCTGCAAAGGTGACAGGAGTAAACTGATCAGATGTGAGAGCATGAAATAACTGTTTTTGCTGTGATCTAATGCATGCTGCTTTTCCACGAATGCAGGAGGTACTGGTGTGGCTGACCAAACTGCAGAAGGAGCTCGGTGGTGAAGTGAGCGATGAGCAGTTGAAGGAGTTTGTCTGGAAGACCCTCAAGTCTGGACAGGTGCGTGTGTCATTCAGCTTTCATGAGACATCATTTTCTTTTTGCATGGCAAGAAAGCAATTCAAGATGCTACAAAAAGACATCACCCTATTTACTCGCATAATGAAACCACCTCTTCTTCTCCTCTTCCTTTTTTGTCCACCCTCAAAAAGTTGACACCAATTTTTGGTGAGTGATCATTACGCGGGAGAAGAAAAAAAAAAGGCCACAGTGGTTATAACAGCAATAATTTTATGGGGTGGTATTAAGAAACTTGCGGTCTAACCGCTGATGGCCTTCAATGCAGTGGTAGGACTACGAGGCCTGTAAGCGTATTTGAGAACTTCACTCTCCAGAAGGGAAAACTGTCCTTGTTCTGGCTAGCGAAATGCACAGCAAACCTTTTACAGCGAAAGCTGTTATGAGATTAGAACACAGGTCACCTGCAACGCTGTAGTTGTCCGCCGCTGCCGGTGTTTGTAACCAATATCGCAAGAAATAAGAAAAAAAAAAAAAACTCGATAAATACAGTCGAGCTCGCTTACAACGAACCTGAGCCTGACGCGGCATCCGTTTGCTGTATCCCGAAGTTCGTAGTAAATGAAACACAGTTTTTTAAAAAGTCGCGAGTGAAAACAAAACTTTTCTGCCCAAAAAAGTCTGTGATGCACGTGTCTCAAAGAGCAGAAGCGATAAGGGCAGTCTCGAGTTAATTTAAAAAGGCAGGGTGCTCGTTCGCCGAAGTCAGTGGCATGAGCTGCATCAGGGACTGGCTCTAAAGTTTCATCGTTCTCGCAATCCGATACCTCAAAATCGCTCTCGCCACGTACTTCATTCACAATGCCCTAATTCGTGCACGGTCCCGCAGTGTCGGCATCATCATGGGCCGTAATTCAACTATCGCAACAGATGTCCCACCCGCTCTCCAGGTCGGAGTCGACGACATGCTGCCACAAATTGCTGCCGGAGTGATCCTGTTCCGAAGTTTCAGGCTCGGCATCGGGCCCGATGTCGACGAAGTTGGCCTCGCAAAGACAGCTTCGTGCGCATGTAGCCTTCACCACCGCCCACGAAATTTTCACCATCTCCACAGCTGAATACCGCGGTCGGGGAGAGCGGCACCCCCGAAGCGGAAAGTTGGCTGCTAGGTGGTCAACAGCCATGAGCAAGTGCTCCGCAACGCGGCACCTAACGCGCAGATTACACTCAAACTAAGAGGTCACACTTTCGACGTTTTGTTGAGCGGCAGGAAAAAGCGTGCAAGTCCTCCAGTCTACCATCCTGACCACACACGTACACCAAGAGGGAGCGAGGCGCGCACATGCGACACACATGCTAGAACTTGTGGAACAGCTCCGGACCCATTTCAGAAAACGAAGCTAATTCGAGCCAGCGTGGCTGGCGTCACAGAGCGGTAGAGACCAGCGAAGAAGTTGTGATCAAGAGAAGAAGCAGATTTGCGATAGAGTAAACAGAGGGGAGGATGAGGTGGGAGGGCGACCTTGAAAACCAAAACACACGGGAAGGAGGTAGTTTGGGTAGCTTGCTTGAAAGGTCCGCGAAAGGCGCAACTCGCACGTAGAAAAACTTGAAAGCGTGCCTGCGCGCGCACAAGTCAAAGCACGGTCACCTGGATTGGTGCGCGCGGTAGTGTTCAAAGAATCAGCGGCTGTGATCGAAAAATCTTTTTGTTGCGCCGGCGGGTTTGCGTGGCCTCTCCAACTTCGATATTTCGCGATTCGTTCCGCGCAAATTAACAGTCGTTTTCGCCCTTCCACACGCCTGCGAAAGATGCTGAGCAGAGTGCGAAGTGAGCGAGAACAAGTCCTCAACACGAAACGAATCGCAAATGTCAGTCGGTGTGGTAGCGTACGTGCGTGCACTAGATGCAGACGATCGGATACAGTCGGTGGCTGACGATGTTGGCAAATGGTCTGGTCACTCTATGCTGGCGACGCCAACGATCAAAAACAGGGCAGGTGGCCGAAAAATCTTCAAAATATCAGTAGCAGTGTGAAAACGCGGGCCTCGTCTAGCGATGCGGGGTGCTCAGAGTAGCTGGAGGGGGGGGGGAGGGGGGGGCAAAGGACGGAGGGGTGGGTAACAAAAAGCGGTCGGGGAGAGCGGCAACTAGAGGGGCGCGGAGCCTGGTTCAGCGTTTAACAATATGAATGTGTGGGCACCTCGTCGATGCCTGATCTGGTTTCCCGGGAAGTCGGAGAGTGCCGATTCCGTTCGCTGTAACCAATTAGCGGCGCTCGGAGACATTCGTTGTAATTGCGATTTTGTGCCATTGAACCAATGTGTATTTTCATGGTCACGCGAATATTGTTCATTGGGGGCAGACTGGTCTTAGACATCATTTTGTTCATTTCTTATGTGATCTTGATAAAACTGTACAGGATTATGCAGTTTTTTCGCTGATTTCAAATATGTAATTAGGTTTACTGTAACTCATTTGGTTCCTGAGATAACCTAAGTTCACCTTCTATTGTTTAAGGCCGCCATAGAAAAAAGGTGATATTTAAAATACGCCAACATAGACTAATGACTATAGATTAAAAGTATGCAAGAGTTTTTGTTTTCAGGCCTTTCTTGGTTATTTTACAGCAAAATGAACTATGCATTTTCAAAAGCAGTTGGAATTGTGTTATAATTTTGAGGAGTAAATAATTACCAAGGCTTGTGCTCTAAATTCTGCTCCCTTACTTGTCGTTTACACACACACAGGTTTCCATTGCAAAAAGAATTATTGTTGTACCTGCCCTAGCTGCAGAGCTATTGAGGCATTAAAATTGATCAGTCGTAAATTTACTTTTTCGAGAAAAATGGAAAAAACTGAGAACACACAGCTTCTTCTAAAAGCAACAATCATGGTGCGCATGTTTTGCAATCCTCATAAAGGTGCTCATAAATTCGTAGCAGAGGTTCTATAATACAGGTGCTGGCAAGTTTTAAAGAAGCATCGAAGTCGGTTCCCCCTTTTTTTCGCAAATTCTGCATGTTAACAGCACCAAGAGTCTGAACAGTTAGAATGACATTACAAAAATATTACTACTTCCTGGTGTGTGAAAATTTGCAGAGACACAAAAATACTCCAAAAGCCAAATATGTCAATATTAAAAAATGAATTTTTTTGTCACTTTTTGGTCCCAAAGACCAGTCTGCCCCCTTAACGAAAGTTCGTTTTAAGTGGGGCCGTTATATGTAGGCTCGACTGTAGTAGAAACCACCAATGACACAATGGGATTCGAACCTGGTTCTGCTGCGTGCCAGCCCAGTGTTCTACCACTGAGCTACGCCAGTGCTTGGAACTAGTTTCCAAACTGGCCTTGGGATGCCGAGAAAGAAATCGCGCTAATATGAGTAGTAAAGTATTTTAGGACATCAAAGGAACAGCCAGGTGTCACACTATGCGAATTGCGCAACGAGTGGGTCGTCTAACGCTCCAACCTATTAGAAAAGCGTGTTCTTGATCACCTACTAACCCACTTCAGGCATAATTCTTTGTAGTCAGCCACTGCATAAAAAAATTGCACAAAATTCCTAGAAAGTGTGGAGCAAATGCCACACTTCTCCCAAGAATGACGAAGGATTACATAGTGAATGCCTGCTTACTACAGTCGAACCCAGGTATATCGAACTTGCCAAAAAACGTTTATTAGTTCGGTATATGGTATAATTCGATATAGGCCCGATATAGATTTTGACACAAAGGCACATAACTAGCTAGAAGAAAAGTACTTGATTACCGTATTTACTCGATTCTACCGCGCCCTCGATTGTAACGCGCACCCGATTTCCACCGCGGAAAAAAAAAAAAAAAACGCAAGACATCGATTGCAACGCGCACCCATTTTTCTCGCTGGCCCGCACGATCACACCACTCGAAAAAACGACTCCTTTCGGGAGCATCTTCTATTTAAATATGAGGTACGGGTGAAGCTTGTGCCCTTCTGACGTGTAACAGAGCATTGCCGTCACTGTAGTTTTACCGTGGACCGATGTCAGCACGCGAACTTGCTTCGCCCCCTTCTTCTCGACGGTTGTGGTGCCAGGCATGTCGATGTAAAGAGGCGTCTGATCGGCATTCCCGATTTGCCCAAGCAGGTAGCCGTTGTTGCGCCACAAGTTTAGGACGAACCTCTGAAAACTGTGAAGCTTTTCATTGTACTCCTCCGCAAAGCTTTTCGCATATGCATGTTCCCCTTCGGAGGTAAAAGCCTTTCCTCTTCATAAAGTTCGTTAGCCAGCACCTGCTCGCTTTAAATTCGCTCCGCATTAGACCGTTTTCTAATTGCATAGCCCGCACTTGGAGCAGTTCTGTCGTCAATTTGAAATTTGAGCGCTGTACCGCTCGCTGCTCAAGCACATACTCGCCGAGCAGCCCTTTAATTTGCGGAAACCGACCCTGCTGTGGTCCACTGAAGCCTTTGCGTGAAGCTTTGCTGTCGACAATCTTCTGCTTTTGTTTCCGCCGGTCCCGCACGCACGTTTCGGGAACTCCGAACGACCGCGATGCGGCCCGATTTCCGTCTGTTTCTACACACACGATGACTTTTCTTTTAAAAGCGGCATCGTGGTGCACTGGAGTTTTCGGAGTCGGCCCTTCCACGCCGTCGATGCTAATGCACTACTAGATGACGAACTCCTCAGCACACGTACGAAGTGCCGCACATGGGAAACACATAGGCAGAAATGGCCGATGCGCCATGCTGACGCACGTAGGGGGCGGCCATTTTGGATTTGCCGATGGCAATAGATTGACCGTAATTTTTTTGTTCGTACTCGATTTTAACGTGCATGCGATTTATGAATTCGCTTTACCGTAAAAAAGGTGCGCGTTAGATTCGAGTAATTACGGTAATATGGTGGCTTACTTGCGTGCCCTACTGTGGAACAAAATAGTCCCGGATTTTTTTCTGTGTCAACGACTTCGCTGTCAGCAACAGCACGCACTCCTCCACGTTGTCCAACGAGTCGGAGCAGCTGAGGCCGCAACCTTCCACATTCAATTAATTGCGCCGAACCAACGCAAGTGCACTAATCACTTCGGAGGATGTAGGCAATTGGCCGTCGTCGATTTCCATATTGCTGTTGCTTTGGCTCGAGGTCGGTACGGCGTCTGCAATGTAATCCTGATCCTGTAATTGGCCCATGATGGGGACATCATCGTCCGCACTGACGAACTCGTCGAATGTCGATCCATCGATAGCACCCGGGAACTCTGCCAGCTCGTTCCAAACTTCGGCAGAAACAGCTGCGGTGTCTTCAATGCTGTCAGAATTTGGGGTGTCATCACCAGGCATCCGGAAGCCGGCATGCCTAAAGTAGTTCTGGATCGTCTCCTTCTTGACATCTGCCCACGATCTACTCAACATAGAAATAGCTCCGAGCAAGTCGATCTTAAGCTTTCTGCCGACACGAAAGTTCTGCAGCAGCCTCTCCACCAGGCGCTTCCGATAGCCGGCTTTCATTGCGCATATAACGCCTTGATCCAGTGGTTGCAGTACAGACGTAGGGTTCAGGGTTAAAAAAAAACAGATCGATGTTGCTGAAGGTCGTACTGCAGTGGTGCGATGAAGCAGGCACACCTTGCGATTTTCGCCTACCAAATCATCATTCCACGACGATAGCCATCTGCTGAGAAGCTCCCCGATCATCCACGCTTTTGAGTTTACTCGGTAGGTAACTGGAAGCAACAAGGCATTTCGAAAACACCGCGGTGCCGTGCTTTTCCCGATAACCAGAGGTCGAAGCTTTTTCGATTCGTCTAAATTAGCTGCCAACAGCACCGACACACGAGCTTTGTTTGCCTTGCCGCCGCTTGTGCAAGTGTCTTGTTTGGCAACATTTGCCAAAATTGAGCGGTTTCATCCGCATTGAAGATATCTTGGGCTCTATATCTTGCTGCGATATCTCGCCAGTGTTGCTCAAGCCGTTTTTCTACGCTGTCCAGGTCCGCCGCTCTACTTTCACCTGTAACAGCTTTGCCAACGATGTCGTGCCGTTTCTTGAACTGCTGAAGCCAGCCTGAACCGCCTTGGAAATCATTTCTGCCAAGCAGAAAAGCAAGGTCCTTGGCTTTCTGCTCGATCATAGGGCCGGACACCGGGATGTTTCGCGACTGCACGTCCACAAACCACTTGTAAACGGCCGCTTCAACATCTTCGTACACAGCAGCGCGCACACGTCGGGCGCCACGGGCACCTGGCCTTTTGTCCAACTTGGCCCTGATGTCTGCCTTGTTCCTCTGGATAGTACTCAAGCTGCTCCTTGGAATTTTGTACGCGGCGGCGACGTCGGACTTCTTTTCACCGCGCTCAACCCGATTGATCCTTTCGAGTTTCGCGGCGAACGGCAAATTTTGCCTCTTTGCGCAAGCCATGATGACAGCGCGCCAATACAGTTCACAGAGCACGAACAGGAAACACCACAGACCACGCTGAATCGGCAGCAGCAGGCACACAAGCATAGAGAAAGAAAAATTGGCGCTCACTTCTACCGCCTCCGTGCCTCGGAGAAAGCACAACGGCCTTTGATTGGCTGTAAGCGCGGCGAGTGGGCCAGGATCATTTCTTGGAGGGGGGTGTTCACTTGCGCACAACCGGGTCTAACCAACTTTTTTTAGAGTGGCGCCGGCAGTTTTGCCTGCCACCGCGAGGGAAAGCCAACTTGCTGGGTCACTTTTTTGGCACATGTAGTTTGATATGTCAGTTGTCGTTGCTATTTTCGTTCGATAAAACAGTAACTTTTGCTATATATTCTCAATGTAAACTTACCGTGTTTAGGAATTGTTTGATATACGGGATACTTTGATATAAACGGGTTCGATATAGTCGGGCTCGACTGTACACAAAAGTTGTGAATACCATATATACTCGCGTAATGAACATACCTTTAACTTCAGTCGTCAAAAATAGGATTTTTTTTTTTTTCGGCATAATAAACGCACCCTCTAGGTGCATACGCAGCAGTCCCGCTAATTGACACTTTGCGCCTCTTTACTCGTTGGATCTCTTCCATTTTTTTATTATTATGCCGACCCCCTTGGCCACCTCAGTTCACTCCCTCTTCTCCTTTACAACGTTGCCATGTGCTGTATTGTATTTCTTTCTATCTACACGCCACACGCCCCTCCCCCCCCCCCCCCTCCGTCTTTTTTATCTCTGTGCCACAGCAGGGTTCACAAGCAGTGCAAGTGTAGAGACGTCCGCAGCTGATAAGCACATAGCGAGCGAAGGTCACGAAACTGCCCGCGCCGACCGACACTCGCTTCCTGCAAATACGGAAGTTTAAGGCTCAACGACGCGCAGAAGATTTTCGAGTGATGACAACAGGATTTGCTGTCGTAAAGGGTCATTAATCGCTATCGTGTCCAAATTTCTGGACAACCAGAAAAAAATTGCTTGTCGCCCAAAAAAAGATTGGGATGATTTCCACGACATGGTAGCTGGTAGCACTCTCATGTCTGAATTCTCGCTTCCCTTGTTCTCCGCACATACAGGAACTTCTCATGTGGAAGCGAGGCGGTAGCCGTATTTTGTTGTTAATCTTGTTATGGACGGTTTGTTTTGATGCTTCGGGGGTAGCTTGCTGCAATGTTGGTTACTTGCTACAATGTGAACAGCGTCATCGCAGTCGTAGTGCGAGGTCGCCGCGAATTCGGCAAAGTGCATCGTAGCGCTCGCTTCTGGGCACCCCTCAAGATCGCAGCAGATACCACTTTTGCGGTTAAATGATTGTGAGAAAAGATAGCCGTAAAATGCTTTTATCGCATATGCGAGCGGCCCGGGGACAGCCATAAACCACCGAAAATGAGTATAAGTGCAACAAAGAAGCTGTTTCCAAACGTGTACGCGTATGTCAATTACGAAAGGCTAAGCGACTTAACTTTTTTTGCATTATCACATTTTTCGCTCCTCCTGAAAAAGTTTTCATAAAATTTGTACCGCATAATAAATGCACCCCCAACTTTGCTCCGCTCTTTGGAGGAAAAAAGTTTGTTCGTTACACGAGTAAATACGGTATTTATGGTGTAGTGGATACCCAGCAAGCATGTTCGTAGCAGTTACCCAAAGAGTGTTAAGAAAAGCTTTTGAAAGGCGGCTCTTTCAGCTTTCGCTGTGACTGTGCTACGCATTCCACACAGGCCTGGCTTTTTTCTTTTTTGTATCCAAGTTTTTTATTTTTATGAGCAGGCACACATTGACGCTGAAGTGTAATCCACTTGCTTGGTTAACATTCTCCAGTGCACACTTGGCAGACCTAAAAACCAGCTGTGTATCTAGCGTGCCCCGCATGGAATGTGCGATCGTATTCTCATGAGGTGCACTTTAAGTTTCCTGTCGGGAAAAAGCGTTGTCGCTATTACGTCTCCTACCTCGTCCGCAAATTGAAAAGCTTTTTGGCTTTCCGTCACGAGCCTCTGCCTTCACTGCTACTACGTGGACATTCACAAGTTTGACGGACTTTTGTCACCGTTGGTTTCCCTGCCGGGAACCTCAATATCGTATCAGGTAGACCAGTGCTTGAATGCACCCTGCCGGGAACCTCAATATCGTATCAGGTAGACCAGTGCTTGAATGCAATCTTTTAAACGCCCAATCATCTTGTTTTGCACAAACTTTCTGCGACAACATGCCGCATTGTAGACTAGACCTAATCAGCGTTTGTTGCTTTTTGGAGGTAGGGGCAGGTGATCAAAGTTGCGGTTCTGTACAAAATCAGCGTAACTCTTTGCACTGGCTCTACTGAAAGAAAAGGGTGCATGGGTGGCCGTTGTAACACTCGAAGGGTGGTTTCGCGATTGGATTGCAATGTCTTAGATATGGGGTGCAAGCCTGTAAGATCAAACGAAAGGTACTATTCAGCACCCAAAATTTTGCTCATGGTAATGCTCATAATTTACGTGGCTTGAAATGTAATCAGCAAATTTCCGAGATGGCACTCTCGTTTTGTGTGTGTTTTTTTTGCATTCACTTTATTTTCAATGCCAGTCTTTTACTGTTTTATCATTTTTGGAAATTCGACTGCTTGTAAACACAGCGCCAACGCATGCCTCAATGCTTGGACACGCGAGACTGTAAGCTCGACACATTTTGTGCTGGTGTAGCCTGCGAAGGATGTTGTTGTTTCGGCTGTGGTGCGGGTATTCGTGGCTTCAGCGAGTTACGTTATTAGCGGTCTATTCTGTAATTGGAAATGTAGTAGGCAAAAGGGAACCTAATAGGCAAGTAAATACGGTATTCAAGAAATATTTGAAATTTCCAATATTCACGCACCCCAACTAAAAAAGGCCACCTTTACGTTTTTGCATTGGCTTGCAGTGACATCGTGAAATCAAGAGGCATTTCGGAAGGCCCAGTAGATTGCCGGACATTGGCTACCTAGTGTTCTACAGGAGCCGAGGATTGAACATGGCAGGTGTCATTAACTTTCATTGAGCCGGCACAGCGTAAATATGAAAAGTACGATTGTCATCCATTAGTTTAAGTAAGCTGATGTTTCACTTTCTTTTCGTGACTCCTAATTTTGGCATGGCTCTCGGAATGTCGCATGCTTGAAACTACCAAACATGGCACTGTCTTCAGCAAAATGATTTTTCATTGCAGTATACAGTGTAGTGAAGTTCAGACCATTAGTCCACTCTTGAAGTCTGCACACATACATACATGATGTTTCGGGCCAGTTGAAGTGAATGCTGTGCGTGACAAGCTGCTAGAGTTGATGTGTACAGTTGTACACACCGACGCTTCTTTTGTAATGGGCCTTGTAAAATCTCTTCGTGGTTTTACGACACCAGAATTTTCTTTTCTCACGGATGATTCATTTGTCTTGTTAGGTTGTGCCCGGTTATGGCCACGCCGTCCTGCGCAAGACAGATCCGCGCTACACGTGCCAGCGGGAGTTTGCGCTCAAGCACCTGCCGAACGACCCGATGTTCAAGCTGGTCTCTCAGATCTACACCGTGGTGCCTCCCATTCTGCTCGAGCTGGGCAAGGTCAAGAACCCATGGCCCAACGTAGATGCACACTCCGGTGTCCTCCTGCAGGTCAGTTCGCTTCCCTTATCAAGGGCATTTAGCTGGGCAAAAGAACAAAAGAAATTCAAGAAGCCAAAGAGATCATTTTCAGGCAATTACATGAAGGGCCTTTTTGAAAAGTTTTTCTTAAGGAAATACAGTTGGTATAAGACACTGGTTGGTATACAGACACTGGTATAAGAGACACCAGTGTACCTACAACGAAATATGGGTTGATAAGCGAATGCATGGGAGGTATGTCACAATTGTTAATACCTGAAAACCAGCGCCCCGTGCGGCGCTGTTCTTGTATGTTTTGTATGTCATGTCTGAAATTTGTAGAATGGGACGTGAAAATAATAAATTCTCAGTTGGTTCTGGGCTCTCGTAGTGCCATGACGTTCTTGGCTATTCATCTGTTGTTGGCGCCCTACTGCTGCTAGTCTGGCGGCTATCTTCACTTGTATCAAGGTACCCTACTTAATAGAGACATCCGATATAGAAGACAAGAATTGCGGCCTGGAGCATGCCTTTTATGAAGGGGTTTAACTAGACTAATGAATGGCAGAGTATAAAGAAAAGATACGTGCTACGTTACAATTTCATTTATGCGTCACATGAAAAGGCTTTCTTCTGTATAAACTTTTTTGCCTAGACCGCTAGTCTTTTGCCATTTGTCACCCCCACCTTGCCATTTACACGTTAGGTGTGGCAAAATCTTTGATGCCAACAAACGAAGGACCCTTCGGCTCTGTTGTTGACCTTTTTTTTTTTTTTATTCTCGGGCTTGATGACCTTACGTGGTCAAAATTCCCGGAGCCCTCGACTACGGAGTCTCTCATATGGTGGCTTTCGGATGTTAAACCCCACATATGAGTCAATGGATCACCTTATGACAAATATTAGCTTGCACTGATCAAAAGTGCTCAATGCTACAATAAAAAAAAAATGAACGTATCGTAGCTCTTGCAAATCCTTCAGGTGCAGTTAGCATTTTTTTTTTCCCTGCTTAGCTCATGTGGTCTTTTCGACAAAGCCATGTTTGAAATAGCTTTGAATGCCTGCCGGTACGCTTGTCAGGTATTTACGGTAAGCCCTCATGAATGCATATGGTAGTTGCAAAGAAGTATGTACTATAACTAACTGTTAACCATAAAGCTGCCTCCTGAAGAGTACCGTTGACACTAGCAATGTGTTGGGAAAATTGGGGTTCTCTTTAGTGATTGTGCCTCACAATGCTTATACAGTTGAGCCCCGCTACAACAAAACTGACGGGGTGCGGAAAAAATTTCGTTGAATTGAAGATCTCGTTGTGAAATTGAAAAAAATATCTCTGATCTGAGCAACCTAAACAAAGGAACGGTTATTCTCGAAATTCAAAAAATGTCTGCTGCTTCCTATTCTTCCCCGGCAGCGTCACAACGTGATTCTCACCCACGCATAGCGAGGCCACAGTGAAAAGCACGCTGAAACAACGCCTAAAACCACTTTCGTGAACGAACCAAACAGTTGCATTAACACATTAACACCAGCAGCTGTCCGCCGTCAAAACTATCCGACAACATGCTAATATATGGTAGCGCAGAGAAAGGACACGGACAAGAGTAGGCACATTCAAGACACCACCTTCTGTTGTCCAAGTCGTTTGTCTGTGCTACCATATATTATCATGCTACCATATCAACAAGCCCAAATCGCCACCCTCATTATCCAACAACGCCAAGGTAGAAGCAGGGTATCGTGGAGCGGCGACTTTTGCATTATTCTGTGCCATTCTTATTATCCATCACTCGCGGCTAGCTGATTTTGTTGATAATGTAGACGAACAGCCGCTCTGATTCGTTACCAAGCGCGAGCATAATGATAAGCATCGGAATCGAAAAAGGTATCGTGCCGCGGTTGCACCCAGCAGCTGCGAAAAGGAAACCATGAACTGAGCTTGACCTTCGGATCGTCTGCAGCTCCAAAGCGAGCCAGTGGCAAAACAAAAGCAGAACAGTCTCATTGCCATCACTATCGAGCAATCGCGGCGCTCATGCTTGCTGAACAGCGGCGGTATAGTGGCGGTTTCTGGTGGTGCCAACGCGTGTTTTAGACTTCGTTGACACATTTTCAGGCTCTGAAACTGCATCGAAATGTTAAAGATTGGATTTACTGCGTAGGAATAAGTATCTGAGCCTAGCATTGCTTTGTAAAATTTCGTTAAAGCGGGGCGATCTAAGAAATTGTGTTCGTTGTAGCGACAATATTAATGCATTGACTCCTATGGACTGCTGACGGGAAATCGTGAATTTTTTGTTGTAGCGAAAATTTCGTTGAAGCAGCGTTTGTTGTAGCGGAGTTTGACTGTATGCCTTGTAGAACGTCATGGTTACTGCATAGCTGTGGGACACTTTCCTGACAGGTACGTGAGTGTTATAGTGAGGTTTTATTGTTGTCATTGGCATTCTCGAATGGAAGTTTATCACTGTGTCAGTTTATTGGCACTTAGTTAGATCTTGTAACTATAATCAGACGGCCATGACACTCTGCATGCTAATACCTTAGTGGACGTTGCTGAAGACCTCTTTTTACGAAAATTCTTACGTAATTTGTGCACTCTTTTCCTGAAACTCAAAAATAAGGATAAAATAGTTGGGGATTTTACTGTTATGTGCTGAATGGCCACTTCCAAGTGTTGAAAATTTTAGCATTAGATCTGTAATAAATAGAACAGTTGGTATTTTGAAGCGTGCCTATATAAATTGAACTACATTTCTATATATGAGCAACGACTGTTTGTATTGCATTATGCAATAAATGTATTTTTCTCAACCCAACTGATGCATGTTAATTACATACTAGCTGGGTTCATATCACCAAGGTTCTACTGTAGGCTGAATTCCAAAGGGACTCTATGAAGAGGCTTTTCAACTTTAGTGTAAGGATGCGTAACAAGCTATGGTTTCAAGCTCTGTGCGAGCTCTGTGTCGCCTGCTTGATGTCTTCACCAGTCATCCGCTTTCACAGAGTCGAATAGCTCACAACTTCTCTTTGACCTCTTTTGTTTTGCAGTACTACGGCATGAAGGAGATGTCCTACTACACTGTTCTCTTTGGTGTGTCGCGTGCCCTGGGCGTCCTCTCATCACTGATCTGGGACCGTGCTTTGGGGCTGCCTATCGAGCGACCAAAGTCCCTCACCACCGAGGGTCTCATGAAGCTGGTCGGATACAAATGAACACGAAGCGACGAGGAAACAGCCTTCCACCGTTTTGCTCCCCCCGTCTCCTCCGCCTCCCTAGTGGCATTGCCATCCCATCACCATGCACCACTGTACTACAACGACTGTGCATGTTCATTGCTGTTTTGCGCGTCTTTACCCGCAGCTTTTCTCCGAACATTTCCTTCACTGTTCTTTAGCGGCCTGTTCATTTTCCCTCCAGCACTGTCTTTTGTCTGCTGCTTCGTTTTCATTTTTGTTTGTTTTGTTGAAGATGCAGAACTTGCGCTAGCGCCGATCCACCTCATTGCAACACCTTTGCAGTGTTGACACGAGTGCAAGCGACAATCTTTGTCAACATAATAGTCCTTGCTGAACTGCGACGGGCGAAGTCGGTCTCTCGAGCGGGAGTTCTGGTGCATTTAGCAATGTGAGGGCAAACGACCTGCTTCAAACTTGCCCTGTTTTGCAAGGCTTTTTTGATGACGCTAAATTACTGAAGTTCATTATTAAGAAATACCGCCAGTATATGTCTCTATGTTAACTATTCATAAATTAGAGAAGTTTGCACATGCATCATGGCAGTGGTGCCTGTTGACGCGTATATTTCACAGTATGATGGTTCATGTTGATAGACTAGTTCGACCTCGGCCCACAATGGAATTCTGTACAGTATTGATTGTTTTCCTTCCTTTATCGAAAAGTTAGTTGTTGCCCTTTTCTTTAATGATTTTCTGGGAGTCCTGAAGCATGAGTCTACCCATCTATTGTAGCAATACTTTGGTGGAGTTGAACTTCTCGTAGTGTTTGTATGTTCGACCTCTTGAGTCAGAATGATTGATACTTTATTTTTTTTTCTCTGGAAAGCAACAAAAGATACCAGTATCGTGTTAATAATGAATTGTGTGGCCTTCTATGTTTGTTTTTCTTTCTGTGGTTTTGCCATTGTGCACAGTGATAATACTACATGAAACCCTTGCACGTGCCTCTCCATGTAAACAATGGTTGAAACCAAACGTCGTGGCAGCTGGTGACACTCTGGCAGCCAACATAGTTGCATGCTGCACATTTTTGCAATGATGATGTTTCTGGCAGATGATTTCACCTCGGCCACACTCGAGAGACGGCCTCTGAGCCACGCGTTTCTTTTTCTTCCCCTCCTCACAATGTACTATCTTCAACATCACAACATTGTTGCGAGTGTGTGTGTGTATGTGTGTGCGTGTGTGAACGTGTCAGCAGGTTGCAGTGGTGTCGAATGGTCATTGTACTTTAATCTGCCTGTGTTCTTTCGCATGATTTGCTTTCTTCTGGTGGACCTACACTTCATAGCCGATGCAAATCGTCGAATGCGACTGGCCACGTGCCATTGTCAGGTGTGCACATCGTCCGGCGCATGTTGCATCGTCTTCTTCGAGCCAAGGGCAGGGCAGAACTTCCATGAACCGTTCACCTGTCCTTCTTAACATTGTCGTGCTAGCAGCAATTCGTGGCCCTTTTTCTTCCTGCTCAAGGGCAGCAGGATTTTTTTTTTTTTTTTTGCTTTTCATAAGTACGTACTACATGCAACTATGTAATAGGCGTTGGAGTCTCTCTTGTCACGGGTGGAAAGATGGGCATGTTGTTTCCTTTTTCTTGAGCATATTGATCTGTTCCCGAAGACCCAACATCCAGTGTTGTACTTGTGTAGAGTCCCTTGAAATCGGCTTGCGAAAACGAGCTGGAAGTTGGGTCTTCCGGTTGAGCAGCTTTTCGTGACACTGCCAGAGGAGTTTGAGGGTCCCAGTGATTTGTGTGATGTATGCGCTCCAGCCCTCTCGTTTAGTGCTGTGGTTGAAAGCACATGCCGTATCCCTTGTGTGAAATAGTGGCAGCCATTTTGGCAAAGCCCTTCTCGTCGACTGTCACGCCTGGCTGCCAAATGTTATTTTTAGAGGCAGTGTATGTTATGGCTAAAAAAACTATGTTATATACAGTTGTGAGTGTTTTAACTTATTTGTAAGCGGTCTAGATCCTTTTCTTTCCTGTTGCGACACTTCGCCTTTGGAGATGTGGGATAATAGGTTTTTTTTTTGTATGGTTGTGTATTCACATGCATAGTATAAATAGCCCAGCCCTGAAAATGAGCCAGCAATACTACCAAGCAATGAAAGTTAACAATAGTAGGCCCTCTTATAAGAGAGCATAAAACACTGTAATTAGAAGAATGCCGTGTAAATGGAAAGTGATGCAGTCTATTCCATTCAGTGTGATATCTGGAAATAAATGGTACAGATAAATTCCTGTGTGTACGTGTGTTTGTGTGTGAACTTTAAGTTCTCCTGGCGGTTTCTATAATGGTATCGACACCAAACTTGGTATGGCATAACATGACTCTACGAAGCACATATTTGACAAGTCATAACATGAAAATCATGACATGTCATGATTTACATTTCATAGTCCTGCAGCTCTTGCAGTGGTTTCATTCACACGGCATGTTGCAAAACAAGTATGGTATGGCATGATTGCATGGCGAACACAAGTGACCGAACCTAACATGAAAATCATGACATGCATGTCATGTAACAACATGACTACATGCCACGCTCATGATGCGCTCGCGGCCAATTTGCTAGCTTTACATTTGCCGAATTTGGCATTACGTGACGTCAATGTATGACAAAGCTATGTGACTGGCGCAAACATGATAATCACAAGGTGCGTGTCATGTGAGAACATGACTACATGCCATAGTCAAGGCACCAATACATTTCGAGATGACGCGGTGCGCATGCTCGCCGGCGTTCTGTTCTTCGCGCCACGCCAGGCACCGGTCCTGTCATATACTCGCAGGCGCGCGCCACGCTGTGTTGCTTTCACGCATGCGCGTCACAGAACACCTACCAGTTTTGACGCACGCGCGTTTCAGCGCGTTTGTCAAAGCAGCCCGACGACCAGTGGTCGTCGGGCCACGCCGTCTGACGCTCGTCGCGCCTGGCGTCAGACTATAGAGTGCTCACGTTTTGCTAACGTAGCGTCGCTGTGCCCAGTGTGCGCATGCGTCAACGCTACAATGGAGTACATTGGGCCCATCATGATGCGCTCGTGGCCCTTTTTCTAGCTTCACATATACCAAATTTGGTGTTACGTGACGTCAATGCACGACGAAATTTATAACTGGTGCAAACATGATAATCCTGACACGCTTGTCATGTAAGAACAAGGCAACATACCACGCTCGTAGCGTTCTCGCGGCCATTTTGCTATCTAAATTTGGTATCTTAGGACGTGAATAGATGACGAAGCTTAACGACACATTCAAACATGATAATCATGACACGTAAGTCCTGTACGGCACCATGTACCTCCACCTCGTAAAGTTGTGCTGATTTGTAAGTGACATATCAACATTTCTCATTCGTGCTTCGCATATCATCGATTCGCACTGTACGTGGGATCTGCCAATTTTTGTCATTTCGTGACTGCAGGTTCATGGAAAGATGAGAAGAGGCAGTCTGGAGCAGTCCATTCTGAAAGGAGTACCGACTAAAAATTTCATGGCTGAAATAGCGTGCAAGAATTATAGTTGTGAACATGCGTGCATTTTCCAAATTTGAACGGCGAATACAGCTTGTAAGGCAATTATAGTAGACTGTAGCTCAAAAAACGAAGAAGCTCACGTTTATGTGTTTTTAACGGTTTTAACGCCGCTGTGAATGGCATCGTCTCGATCGCACGGGCGATCGGTAAAAATAATTACTTCACACAGTAAGCCGGGATCGAATGTCCGTCTGGCAAGGCCGGAACATGCATGTATTCGCGTACACGTATGTACGTCGCATAGACACAGATTCGCGCACGTGTTGATATCAGGACGCTGCACGTGTTACGACACTGCTTGCTGTCGCCATAGAGTTTCTGAAAATTAACTAGAGGCACGGAGGAAGGAAAGGTCTAGAGGGCACTCTGGCGCTGCGATCGTTCAGCGACCATGGGAATGATGGGTAGTACACACATTTGCCTACTCTTCGTTAGAGTGTACTAGAAGTTCTAAGTGAGACGGGCAGCCGACTCTGCACCTGCATCGTAGCGAAGCGCGGTTCGTTGACAGTTGGCGTGGCGGCGCTGCGGTCGCAGTGGATTGGTGGTGTTCGCACCGGCGGCACTGGTTTGGACGTGTTCCAAGTGTGTTCGTCGTCGCATTTACGTATTAGCTGCGGTGGCTCGTAATGTGTACGTGAGCGCTGCTGCTGTTTCGTCTCTGTGTGCTACTGTGCTGTGGTGGGAGCCTTGAATGCCCAAATGAGTGAGTGCCAACGACTTCGGCATGACTAAAGCTGGGCTTCGCCATTGCTACGCGCCGGGATGCCGCACAGGCTATGCCGGCGTCAAAGCAGATAGGAAGCTGTCGCTTTTTAGCGTTCCAAAAGATGAACGTAGAAGAAAAATCTGGGAACGGAACCTCCATCGCAGCGACAAAGCTCTCGAGGAAAACTGTGCAGTGTGCGAGCTCCACCTCGAGGACCGCTACATACTGCGTGACTACGTTCACATCATTGACGGCAAAGAAGTGAGAATCGCCCGTGGTATTCCCGCGCTAACGCCAGACGCAGTGCCTACAATCTTGCCCAACGCTCCGAAATATTTGAGCACGAAACTGCCTCCTAAACGCGCCCCTCGTAAACGGGAAGCGCCTACCGTTCCGGGACCCCAGAATAGCAAGAAAGCTTGCACGAGTACGCCTGTCGACGATGACTTTGAAAGTCAAGACGACGTGCACGACGTGTCGACAGCGTCGTTGAAACTAGAAAACTTGCGAGAACTGAGGACTCCGTCTAAATATTGGTCGGTGCACCGATTCTCTGGCTATGAAGGCGCTGTTTATACACTGTCGCAGTTGGATACGTGCTCTGGCACTGTCACTTCAGAGAGGGCAGTCCTTTTTCACATGAGCGTGATCGAGCAGGCCAGTTACAAAACATTTCTGAACGGAAAGCCAGTCTCTGAAGGACTTGTGAGAACTGTATTGCAGGCAGAGGAAGCCCTTCTTCAAGCATCTAAATTTCTGAAATGTCCAGGTGCACTCAGCACTTCGTCTATCACCGAAGAGGATTTAACGACGAAGCTGCTGGGCCAGACAACTGTGTTAGACGGCTCATTCTACAAGAAGAAGTGCGCAGGAACGACGGCTGCCGAAGGTAACCTGGAATCAAAGTCTCATGCAATGTAGCGTTCTTTTGAATGCATCAACCGTTGCACGCTTCCCGAAATGTGTATGCTTCATGTAGCTTAATAGATGATTTAATTTCAGCACAAATATTGATAGAAAAATATTTGTGTTCACCTTTTTGTACAGCCTCGTAACATGGTCAGCAACATGTAAATCAGGCCGACCCCTGCAATACGTACATGCTAACATAGTTTTTACTGCATACTTATGCAATGGGATGGCTACCCATCACTCTAAAGGGACTTATTTGTGATGGAAGAGCAGTACTTACTTGCTTCGATGCATCTGGGATACTACATGTCTTGCTGTTATAGAGCCTGTATGCAACTTGATGGTCTAGTCTAGGTTTTGCTGCATTGCGTATGGAATGATATCCTGCTTTGTAATGACCGTAACCCCATACATAAAAATTTAGATGTTCTAGATATGCATGGTGACAAGGGATTTTTGACCATTTCTCTAAGGTTGTCACTGCAAAAAGAGGGTAATTTGTGACACGTTGCTTTTTTGTTGTTTAGGAGCACCATGCCTACCATGTCGCTACCTACGAAAGTCCCTGCTGACACGACTATCTCGTCTGAGGAATCGTCGTCACAAACAAGCCATTACAGCAGCGCAAAAGCTTAAATGCGCATTACAAAGGCAAAGACGCTTGTGTAAGAAACTGTTGAGCTTACATGGCCAAATAGAAAGAATGAAGGCTCAAAATGCCAAAATAAAAATGGAAGCGCTAGAAGAGAAGATAGCCATGCTACCAGAAAAGCAGCAAGAGAGCGTGCGTCACTGCTTTGCAGCCTCAAAACGCAAGAGTACAAGAGGCATGCAGTTTACGAAGGAATGGATGTTTGAATGCATACTCATGAAGATGAAGAGCCCCAAGCTTTATAGGCATATCAGGAAACAAAATATTCTTGTACTTCCCAGCAACACTACACTAAAGAAGTACACAGCAGCGTACAAGACAGGCTTTGGTTTCTGCAGAAAAATGTTGGGTACCTTAAAAGCAAAAACCAGCTCAATGGACTCTTTCAAACGTCATGGTGAACTTCTCATTGACGAGATGAAATTGTCGGAACACTTGTCTGTTGAGACAACTGGTAAGCTGCGTGGCTTTGTGGATTTAGGACCATTCACACCTGCCAAGGACGCTGGCCTTCGATGCGACCATGGAATGGTTGTGATGTTTGTATCGTTTGCCGGAAAGTTTTCCCAAATCCTGGGAGTTTTTGCCGCAAATGGAAATGTAAAAGGGGAACTTCTGTGCAAAATTCTTGTTGAGGCGACAATTCTGGCAGAGCAAGCGGGACTCTTTGTACACTTTGTGACATGTGATGGGGCAACATGGAACAGGAAGATGTGGACGCTAATGGGTGTTCAAGGATCTGCCAGCAAGATCACATGTAAAGTCAAGCACCCTGTTGATGGAAAAAGGGAACTTCATTTCCTTTCAGACTTCCCGCATCTGATGAAGTGCCTACGTAACTCCCTGCTGAAGGGCGGCTTCAACACACCAGATGGACGGGTAAGGCTCTTTTTTCCTCTTGTGGAGTTGACCTTAAAAAGTCTGGGAAGTGACTCACCATGGCTTTCTTAATGCAGGTCTCTACATACTTCGTCAAAGAAGCCTTCAATCATGACAAGGATAATGTGACGCTGAAGGCAATGCCAGGGTTGACCGCTAGCCATCTGGAGCCAAATGGATTTGAAAAGATGCGAGTCTCCCTAGCTTTTCAGCTCTTTGGTGACCATGTGTTGCGTGGTCTGCACCACTACAAAGGCACTATAGAGTCAAGTTATGGAAAAGGAGCCATAGATGCGACAGAAGCATTCTTCAGGTATTTTGGTTGATTCAGTCACAAAAATTATGACCTGCTCAGGCTGTTGTTGTTACCTTGTCTTCCTAACCCATGTACTTATGATAATCTCGTGTTTCTGTGATCTATTTGTTTCAGAATGATGAATGAACTGATTAAGGTGATGACGTCCCGCTTCAAATCCGAAGCACTGTGGCCCAACTCAAGAGGAGTTGCCGCGCTGTCAAACTTCCTTAAGTACATAACAAAGTGG